ATTTAAATATATGCTATTTGAGCCATTTGGGAGAGAATATAGTTTGTAAAACTAAATCAATTTCCATTTAAAGTTTATATGCAATGTTTACAAATATTGTATTCTACAGGAAGAAGATTGTTATAGCGTGTGTCTAGGTGTCCCCCAAAACCACATGTGATCATAGATGGGGCTTTTTCAGAAGTGGGTGGATCTAGAATGTGTGATTGATTCATGATGCAATGCTGGCATTAAGGGTGAATGATTACTAAATCAGTCTACTGATTGGTTTGGCACTGTCGTAATCCCAGTAACCTAGATAGAGTATAAAAGGGGCAGAAAAATGCTACTAAGGTCCCTTGGTTGCTTTGCTGCCTTCTGCCAACCATGACTGCTTTTCCTCTGTAATGTCCCTCTGCCACACAACCCTCACTTGGAGCCAGATGATTATGGACTGAAACATCTACAGATTGTGAGCCGAGTAGAGATTTTCTCCTTTAATTTTGAGTATCATGTATTTGTCTCAGCAATGAGAATAGTACTCAAGAAAAAAATATTTTAAGATACAGAAACAGAGACAGAACAATCACATTTACAGGTAATAGATATTATTTTTTAGTTTCTCTCTTGTGTGTGTTTGTTGTACACAATAATGATGTTCATCTTGGAGAACTAGTACATTTACACACCATCTGTCCATCTGTTAATCCTTCCTTTTTCTTCCCTCCAGTCTCTCCCCATTCCTGGGTCTTTTTTATCTTTCACACCTGCACCTCAAAACAAAATTTTGAAATTTAGATTTCATTCATAAGTATACACACTTCTTAACATTTAAGCTCATTTATTTGACTCGTAAAATTAGTTAAATATTCATGATGAGCTAAAGGAGATAAAAGTGTAGTATACCCATTATTCTTATGAAAACTGAAATCAAATTTATTATGGCAATAGAAAAGTACTAAAACACAACTTACAAATAGTGTGAATTAATTTCAAGTGTGGCAGGTAAACTACTGCAGCAGCAATAAAACAAAGTGAAGTATTTTAGGAAATACTTTATTAGTAGCACTGACAAGATTCTGAGCACAGTGAATATGGGGAGAAGGAAGAAACAGATACTACTGACATTTAGAGCAAGGGGCTTAGCCCATTTGCGTTATTAAAGCAGACTAATGGAGAATGGGGCATTCTTTTTTCTTTTTCATTTTTTTCTTTTATTGAGTTTATTGGTACATTTTAGGTATACAGTACAGTTAAATTCATTATTGGGATTTTGTACCTTTACATGGCAGGTGGTCATGGTTCTCATTTTTCCCCTTGCCCTCCCATCACCCCCTCCTCCCCTCCCCATTTACAAACACTTTGTTTCCATTTTGTTCATTTTCTCATATTTTTTCCCTTATTAACTTTTCCCTACCCTTCCCACTTTCCCTACACCTTTAGCCTTTTTCTTCCCATTTTGCAATGCCAGCTATCTCATTACGATCTTATGTACTATTACAGTTTATTCACACCAGAGAAACTACTCGATATTTACACATGCATGATTTATTTAATTCACTTAGGAGTATATCCTCAATACGTATCCATTTTCCTATGTATGGGTCTAATTTCTCATTCTTTATGGCTGAGTAGTATTCCATTTTATAGAAAAACCACATCTTCTTTATCCAATCTCCAATTGATGGGCAAATGGGCTGTTTCCAAGTTTTAGCTATTACAAACTGTGCTGCTATAAACATAGGTGCACATATATCATTGTGATATTGTTCTTTTAATTCTTTTGGAAAGATATCCAGCAGAGGGATGGCTGGGTCAAATGGAACCTCTCGTCCCAGCTCTTTGAGGTATCTCCATATTGATTTTCATAGTGGTTGCACCAGTCTGCACTCCCGCCAACAATGGTGAAGGGTTCCTTTCTCCCCACAACCCCACCAACATTTGTTATTGGTTGATTTCTTGATAGCAGCCATTCTTTGTGGGGTGAGGTGGAATCTCAGTGTTTTCATCTGCATCTCTTGAATGACCAGTGATGTGGAACATTTTTTCATATATTTACTTGCTGCTTTTACTTCTTTGTCTGAGAAATGTCTGTTCATTTCAGATGCCCATTTTTGAATCGGGTCTTTATATTTGGTGGGGCTGATTGTTTCGAGTTATTTATATATTACAGGTAATAGTCCTTTATCTGAGGAGCAGCTGGTAAATTTTTTCCCCACATTGTAGGTTGTCTCTTAGTTCAGTCGATGGTTTCTTTTGCAGTGCAGAAGCTTTTTAATAAAATGAGATCCCAGTTGTTGATTCTTTCTGCTAGTTCCCATGCTACTGAGGATTTGTTCATAAAGCCTTTTCCTATGCCAGTGTCTTCCAGAGTTCTGCCTAACTTATCTTCCAGCAAGTTTAGGATTTCTATTTTAATATTTAGATCTTTAATCCACTGGATTTTAATTTAGTGCATGGTGAAAGATAAGGGTCTAAGTTTTAATCTTTGGCAGGTTGAGATCCAGTTTTTCCAACACCATTTATTAAAGAGGCTATCTTTCCTCCAGTGGGGATGGTCAGCTCCTTTGTCAAAAATAATGTAGCTGAGTACATCTGAAGTTGTTTTCTGTCTTCCAGTCTGTTCCACTGATTCTCAGGTCTGTTTCTTTGCCAGTAGAATGGGTCATTCTTAAAGAGCAAAACTGTATTTCTCAAATTTCTGGAGGCTGTGAAGTCCAAGATCCAGCTAATATCATTTGATGTGTGGTGAGAGCTTTCTTCCTATTTTCTTATCTGGTGGGAAGCAGAAGGGCAAGAGAACTAAAAAATCCCTCTGTCAATTCTTTTTAATAGGAAAATTAATTTCTTCATGAGAACAGAACCTGCATGTCTGAAACACTTCCCCAAAGGCCCAACTTACTGCTTTGGCTTACAGCTTTTTTTTTTTTTTTTTTTTTTTTCGTTTCGACTTGGTTTCAGTGATCGAACTTGGGTCCTTGTCCTTATGGGGCCAACTTATTGCTTTGGAAATTAAATTGATAACATGAATTTTCAGAGACACGTTACTGCCATGGCAATGAGTTTGAGTTAAAGAGTAGTTTGTTGGGGACATGTGGAGTTAAGATGTCTGAGTGTCGAGGTTTCCAAATATTCAGTAGAAATCTTCAATAAACAATTGGAAATTGCTCAGCAGTTCAAAATAGATCTGGTAGTTATCAGAAAGGAACTGGGAGTTGCAGCCATGATTGATGCCTTTTTATAAAGTAAAGAAAGATTAATCTTGGCTTGAAAAAAACTTAGAAGAGAGACTACTAGTTTGCCACAAAAAAATAAATATGAATTCTATAGTTAGAAATGGAAGATACTCTAAGCTTTGCAAATATCAAAAGTGAGAATGATAATATGTTTTTTTTTCAATTTACAAGTGATACTGTCATCAAATGTGTGAAGAAAATCATAGAGATACATGCACAATTATTTACTCGTGCATGCACATACAAACATAAATGCCTGTAATACTGTTGTTCATTCTTTGTGAATGACTCTAAAATGTAATTTGTTGTTAGGAAGAAAACTTTGACAGGTTACAGTCATCAATGTATAGCTACTAATGACATTCCTGTTGCTTTTATTACCCGATTTTGTGAGACTTCAAGTAAAAGGCTGTTTTATCAGTTTATTCAGTGGTAGAATCTCAATTATTGTGATTTATAAAACTCTTAATTTTTTGTATTCATGTTGGAAAGACTCTCCCTCCAATTGGCTATGGAATTCCAAGCTGGTAACTGTTTTTGATTTAGTACTTTGAATACAGGGCTCCAAAGCAAGCCAGTTTCCATCATGTGTGCTTGAACTGCAGCTATTTCTATCATTATGGTTCGCTTAAAATTTGTTATACAAGTAATTCAGGCACAGTGGCCCATGCCTATAATCCCAGCACTCTGGTATAGGGATGTAACTCATTGTGAAAGCCTTTAGTTCAATTCCTAGTACAAAAACAAAAACAAAAATGAAAAATAAGTATGCTGTTTCCCACAAACTGCTTTAAAAATCTCTCTCTTTAATTTTCTGAAGTGTAACTAGGTCATGGTGAAATATTGCTTTTGTAATTATAAAATTATTTGTGTTCTCAGAATTTAATCTATAGATTAATGACTTTCCCAAGTTTTGAAAATATTTCGGTCATGATCACTTCAAATCTTGCTTATTTTCAACTCTTTTCTTCTCCTTCTTGAGTCCCAAGTGTCAGCATTTTATCTACTGCTATTCTGCTGTCCATGAATATTACATGGTTTTTGTTGTTGCTGTTTTTCTTTGTTTGCTTTTTTGTTGTTTGTAGTCTACTTACAGTATTTTCTATTTTCCAGTTTTGGTTCATTAATTCTGCCTTCTCTGTTTAGCCCGTGTTTAAGCCTACTTATTAATTATAAATTATTCCTTTGGTTCCAGTGTGGGTAGTCCTTTAAAGATTCACACACTGGAAGAGGGAAGGTCTGGTAGAAATGTGAACCTTCACAGGAGGAAGATTATACATTTTTTAAAAATGTTCTATATTAGATAAATATACAGGTAATTTGAAAGATAAAAAGCCATCATACCAAAGCAAAGAGGCAAACAAAAAATAAGAAACATTCTGGAAGCAGTTATTAGAGGAGGAAGAAAGAGCCCCCAAGGGGGACTATAAGTAATATGTCAAATAAAACAATAGAGAAGATTAAAACATAGATAAGGTGCAGATGTTTTTCAGATTTGACATATGGTAAAAAGCAGTGTTTAAAAACTTAAAATAATAATTCTTTGTTTTGTGTGCTATACAAAAGGAACAATACAAAATAGCTGTTCAGTTTGTGTTCAGATGTCCTCCCAAAGTTTTTAGAGGTGACTGAATGAAGAGTGTGTGATTGATTCCCGGGTTGGGCTAGACCTGAGGGTGCTTGGATTAAGGACAGGAGTGCTATCTACCCTAAGTAGTCTGAATAAGATAAAAGGGGCAGAAAGACTCTGTTAAGGTCCCTTATTGATTTTGCTGTCTTCCTTAGCTGTGAACTCCTGCCCTTCTGCTACCCTGCCTCGGAGCCAGCCAACTATGGACTGAAACATCTTCTACTAATGGTAAGTCAAACAAAATATTTCCCTTTAACTTTGGGTGCTAGGCAAATTTTCTACAATTCTCTCCAGTCATTTTATAAATTTGGTAAATGTCTTAAGCAGGTAGCCAGGATGCGTTAAATTCGGTTCTTCTAAGTCCATGCGATGTCATCATTTTAAACCTCCAATCTTGTCTTTCTGTCTTATCAACCTGCACATACTGTCTGCCAGTATTTTCTAACCAAGCAAGGTCTTGGTTCTTAGGTTCATGTTCAATGACAAATACACTTGGGCAATAGTGCATTAAACTGTTGTATTCTCCTCCGACCAAATGTGGCTTCTCCTCTCCGCTCTGTAATACTGGCCTCCCTAAAATCTTGATTATTTTACCTCCTCTTCAAATGTTTTTGTTCATTCACTTATTCAGAATGTACTCTCCCATAAGCTACTCTATCGGATCCATGAGTAGAAATCCTACAAAACTCTTTTAAAATCCATTTGAAAACAGTGAACAAATCGAATGCAAATAGTGTTACGTTTAATAATTCTCATCTGACAAGATTGTTTCAGTGTTTCAGTGGGAGAAAAAGATTTAGAAATTGATATGAAATTATGAATATTTTCATTGTTGATATGATTACCGGGAAATTAACAACTACCATTAAACATTTCTTCATATTATGTGTGGTATTATTCATGAAGGCGTGTTAATGAATAATGATAATTGACTATTAAAAAAGAATTAATAGCATAATATTTCAAGATTAGTTTTAGCTTCCTTTCCATGAAAGTCTTAGATGTGGATGAACAATATTAAAAGGCAGTGAAGTGTTGTGGAGAAGTTTTAGAGAATGAATATGGACACCTGTGAATTTTGGATCTCTTGTGTAGTAACAAGTGAGCAAAAGCCCCAATTTCCTCAAATCTCATGTTTCTGCAGAAAAGTATGGTAGTATTATAAAAAACATGTGATAGGGCATGGTGTATATTTTTACCTAACTGAAATATATGTGGAGTTAATTTCTACCTGCAATCTGTGGGCTTCCTTTTTGCTTGTGATGAGAAATTCTAAAATAATTAAGGTATCACCAAATTCATAATTCATGTTTATAACAACACCCTTGTCTACAAATATTAGTTAAATGATTTTAAGATTAGTTACACCATTTTTAAAAAGTGGGGAAAATGGAGCCTGTTCCATCTTTACCAAAAAGTAATAAGCATGTTTGTGTGAAATTTGATATGAATGTTGGTAATATCTAGACAAAAAGTTTCTGACCATAGGGACTACTTTGAACAAGATCGACTATAAAATTTAACAAATGCTTCAGACATTTACAACTCTGCACAAATATAATAGAATCTATTCCTGCTGCTTATATTAAGCTGCAGATTTCATGTCATAAGATGCCATGCCCAACGAGTTGGAAATGTCCATATCAATCTTATAATGAAAATGAAGACAATCAACAAAAAAATCCTGTTTATTGTAAGAATAAATAAAGAAAAACACTTTATGCCTTATTGACAAGAACGTACATATTACCATAAACTAATAGCATGCAGGCTAGAGACCTGAAATTTGGGTTTTATGATTATGAAACAAACCCTAAATTTTCACCAGAGCAAAGATTATTTTAAAATGTATCACAGCACTAGACTTTATACTAATTCAATGATAATGTAACAAAATTTTAATATAAAACCTCCTTTGATATAAAGCTTAAAAATTTCTTTGCTATATAAAGCTTCTTTGCAGTAGTGTACTTAGTATGAATATAATTCATTGACTTTGTGTGTGCTGCAATATGTAGCAGTTTTTCTTCCATCTTAATATAATACTCTATCAGAAAAGAAATAGAATAAGTTTGATCTATCTGACTTTGAGCCATCAAGCAAAAAAGAAATGTGTTCAAACTAAGATTAAAAAAAACAGAGAAAGACCATGAGAGTTAAGATGTCACACACTATTTTCACTTTAAAAAATAATAGAAGTAATATGCAATATTTGTAAAATGTGTATAAGATGTTGATTAACATCACCATTATACTATTTTAAGTTAGTTATTGTTAAAGGCTAGGAATAAGTGATCTAAATCAGTGGCTACTGACTCTTTAACATGATGGGTAAATATATGTCAACAGCATGGCCAGGCTACCTGATCCTCTTTGCTTCTGGTCCACAATGTTTCATTAAAAACACTTACTTCTACTCTGCATTACATTTGTAGCAAAACTTTAGGAACTTGTGGAGTAGTGTCACTTTATATAACTGTGGAAGAGATTCCTTCTTCTCCTCTCTTTTTCCCTACCTTCCTTGCTTCATCTCTTTCTCTCCCTCCCCTCCCTTCCACTCCCCTCCCCACTCCCTGCCTCTCTCCCCCACCCCTCTCTTCATGTATCCATGTAGGAATATAATTTGCTATGGGAAAACAGAATTTGTATGAGTGCAATGATTTTTTTCCCTTTCTTCTATTCCTGAATCCTTTCCAGAAGTACTACTTTGCCTTGTGTGTATGTCTTGCTACCCACTGAGACAATTTTGAAAAGCTGCTTATTTTTGGTACATTGTGCACATTTTATGAAGAATGAGATTTACCTAAAATGGTTTTCTTGGAAAAAAAATTTTTGACAAGCAGGAAAATATATAGCTACTCAGATGAAGGCCAGGAGGCACAGGTTTGGAGTTTGGTGTATGATATTTTTCAGAATAGACTAATAGTACCTGAGTAGTATAGGTGGTGTGGCTATAGGATAGAAGTTACATTTACTTTCATGCTTTTGGAAGGTAATTATATGAGTTTTCAATACAGAATTTATAGCAAAGACGTGGCAATCCAGTTTCCATTGCTATAACTGAATACCACAGACTGAGTAATTTGCAAATACTAAAGCTTCATTCAGCTCGTGGCTTTAGGTTATTAAGTTCAAGATCATGCATTGAAATGTGATGAAGTCTTTCTTCTCGATGCAGATTCACTATAGAGTCTGAAGGCAGCATAAAGAATTACACAGTGAGACAGACTGTCCTTCCTCAGGTCTCTCCTCTTCTTATAAAGCCATAGTCAAGATTGTGGTGGCATGCATGCTCTTAATTACCTCCTGAAGATCCCATGTGAGAATAGAATGGATGAATTGAGTTTCTACCCTCCTAATACTTCCCAATGGAGAATAAATTTCAACATGATTCTTGGTAGAGAAATTTAAAACATTGTGAAATACCTTCATCAAAAAAGAAGATCACAGGGCTGGGGATGTAGCTCAGTGGTTCTGTTGCCTGCCTCACAAGCACAAGGACCGAGTTCGATCCCCAGTACCAAAAAAAGAAAAAAATCACAATTTATAACCTATGGGTGCACCTCATGGGAGTAGGAAAAAGCAGGAACAAATTATGTGGGAAATTAGTAGAAGAAACTAAACAATAGAGATTGGAGCAGAAATAAATAAAACAGAGACCAAAAAATCTGTATCTCTTGAGAAATGCTTCCTTTCAGAAAAATAAATTTTTTTCTTGTGTAGATATGAGCACTTGCAATTTAAAAATGATTGCAATGTTCTGGCATTAAAATGTTATTAGATTGATTATGTAATATAAGTTAATTAAATAATGAACAAACATTTCCTTTCTTATGCAGTGTGATGAGTGTGATGTTAGCCACAGTATAAACATGAAATTCCATTACTTGACAAATTATCAGACTGGATGAAACAAGGGAGAAGTAGTGTATGTTAGTGCATTATTTGTTTTGACCTAAAAGTCGGTGAGCAGACTGTTTTCCTTTCCTTTTAGATTTCAGTGGCTCATACAACAACAAAAATATTTGTTTAAAGATTTCTAAGAAACACTTAATTCTTTGGGTATAGTTATTTTTTTATTAGTACATGTTGGT